ACATCGCATCGCAAAGTCGCAGCGGGAAGCGGCCTGACCACTAGACCATGCAGTGGGTCGTGCCGCGTTCAAACATTTAGATATCACGGGGCACTTCTGCGGTTAGGTCCATCCTCCGAACAGCTCATGCGCACGTAGACTAGGGCCTGGCTGAGCTGTCTGCAGTCTGCAAAAGTGGCGTTTGCCCATTGCTTAAGCTGTGTGCCTAGGAAACCAGAGATCAAGGGTTCGATTCTCCTTTTTACCAGGGTAAGAGTCAGGCGACGCCATACAGCTTCAGCTTCAGTGTGTCGTAAAGCTTAAGTATGATTCATCAGCTGGCTGTGGTCCGGTCATCCTTCAGTCGCAGTAGTCCCAGCGTGAGTTGCTACACCGCCACCCATCAGTCGCTTGCAGAATAGTTGTATATAAATGTACATGTGTGTATATATACATATATACACGTATTTATACTCAAAATATATACATATGCATGGCATGTTTTGTATCTACTTATATATATATATATATATACATATATATATGAAATATGTATGCAAGCTTGAAGAGCACATTTCATTCGCGCGTGGAGGATATAGTATGCTAGGTGCTAGATCGGCCAAGTCGCTTTTCCTCAAAATCTGTCAGATTTGAACGCATCTGCGTTGTATGCTGCTCGTCTCGGCAGCTTTGCCACAGCAACTTTTGTCAGCAGTCTCCGCCTTTGCTTATGATCCATTGCGGAAGTGGCCTGTCGTTTTTGGAAACTCTCATACCTGCTTCCAACACAAACGTTGCATCAGCTAATGCAGGTATCTGAGGTTACCTGAGCCAGCAGATGGTCGACGGCCAGGAGCAATGCTTGCGGTTCCGCTAACATAGCGGTCGATGCTGTGTAAGGCTACTGAAGGCACCAGGTCAGCGCACCAAAAGTGTAGATGTGAGTTTTCATGTCAGACAGGTCGGATCTCTTGCGTCGGATGCGAGACCCAGCTTCAGAATGCGCCGTTTGACCTCTTGCCTGTCCGGGGAGTGGGGATCAGGGCGTGGTTAGACTCCAAAAGCTGTGCTATGAGGGAAGGCCCGTATCCTGGCCAGTACCGGAGTGACAACATGGATATTAGTGTAACATTCTTAGGCTGGACTTAAAAGATGAGCGAGGAGTGGTGGAATCTGTTCTGGTTTCTGTTAGATTTCTGATAGATTCTGGCAACTTATTTGGTGAATGCCGGTGGTTCTCTGACGCAAGTTAACATTAGAGAAAAAAATTACAACCGACAAACGCCACCCTTTCCTGGAAACTCCCGAAGCTCCTTGAAGTCCTGGTGACAACCTGGCTGTCTTCGTTCTCCTTTTGTCTTCCCTGGATCGATTCAGCGCGTCAGACCGTGATTACTGTAAGCCCGTCTCGGTCTTTGGACGTATCTGGCAGCGCTCACATTTGGGGTCGCAGCTGGTGCCATCACTTGACGTCGGCTGGCCGCGAGAGATGGATGAAAACTATTCAGATGCCTGCGTTCGGTCTCGGGGAAAATATCTAATCTCCAGGGCCAAAGCCCTCACCCACAGAGCCTAGCTTTTAGAAGGTAGCGCTGCTTCACACAGGTAGCAGTGCTCGGTAGCAGTAGCTGGTAGCGTGGCTGAATGACGGTAGCAGTGCTGGGCAGCAGCGGCCGGCACTGGAGCAGTGCTGAACAGCAGCGGCCAGCACTGTAGCAGTGCTGAACAGCAGCGGCCGGCACTGTAGCAGTGCTGAACAGCAGCGGCTGGCACTGTAGCAGTGCTGAGCAGCAGCGGCCAGCACCGCCGCTTCGCTCGCGGCGCGCCGTCGGGCTTCGCGTGCCGCCGCTCGTTGGGGAGGTGAGGTGGCGGCTGCCCCCAGCTGATGTGAGTGGGCGCGGGTGGCGGACCCGACACACAGCGCACGGCGCTCTGCTCCTCTTCTCCGCATTGGGCCGGCCCAGAGCCCACCTCAAGAGTGTCCTCAACTGGTGCGGGGAGCTGGCTGAATTACGCTGGGTTGTCCGGGAGGCGCGCGCGAGTGACGCTGGCACTCCGCTGCGCGGACGACTGTCACTCCGGACTGACTCGCGGGCCACTCCTGCAGCTCGGCAAGCGCTTATTTTACTTGGGCACCTCCGGCAGACACCGAGTAAACCTAGCACTGTTCTCGGACGCGTGGATGATTCTGGCACTCCTGCCGAGGTTCCTGTCGCCCCTTAGGCCGGTGCGGGAGGCCCGGCACTCCCTGGAATGACGTAGACAAGTCTGGCACTCCCGCCGAGTCCCCTGTCACCCCCAGGCCCGTGCGGGAGGCCCGGCACTCCCTGAAGTCATGTCGGCAGGTCTGGCACTTCCTGGTGTCGTGACGGCTTCCGGCCGGCGGGCGGGGCGCCGCGGACTGTGCCAGCTTCCGGCGATAAGCGCCGACGGAATGCGGGTGTGTCGGCGCCTGGCTGCGACTGGGCTCCGTGAGTCGGCCCCGCGGAGGGCAGGAAGAGGTCGCACTGGACCGCCCTCCCCGTCTACGCTGCGGTGGGCGGCACACGGGGGAGGGCAGGAAGAGGTTGCACTGGACCGCCGTCCCCGTCTGCGCCCGGTCGCGGCGGGCGGCACGCGGGGGGAGGGCAGGAAGGAGTCGCATTGGACCGCCGTCCCTGGACTGGACGCCCGGCCGCGGTGGGCGGCCGGGTGTACAAGCTTTTTTTGTCTCCCCTACGGCATGTGGGGGGAGCCAAAACCAGATCCGGATCCAGACTCAGACACAGGCGCGGACACACACACACACACGCAGGCCTAGACCCAGATCCAGACCTGGACCCAGACCGCCGTCCCCGGACTGAACAGCGTGACTGGGGAACAGAAGGCGTGCTCGCACTGGCACCTCCGCCGTCGTCGGCGTGCCGGCGGCGTGTCCTCGCTGTGCCGCCGGCGCCACTCGATCACCATCGGGCGGACGGCTTGCCGCCTCGGCGGGCCGTCTGGCCCGGATTACACGCGGAGAGGCGCCGATCGACACCCAGTCGCCGCTGAAGACGGATGGGCCTGCGGCAGGCACTGCCGCGCCTCCCCCGGCGCGCTGCCAGGCCTCCCGCGCGCCCGTGCCGCGGCTGGTTAAGCGGATGCGGCGGCAGCTGCTCGGGACCGATGTCATGGGCGGGCGCGGGCGCCGGCTCAACACGCGGCAGGCGGCGGCCGCCTCAAAACCGCGCCCGTCCGTGTTTATCTTCAGGCGGGCGCCTGCCAAGATGGCCACCTGCGAAGTGCCCCCGTTCGGCTGGCTGGAGATGGCGCATGGTCTACACGTGCGGTCAGCGGTGCCTCGCTCTTCTGTGCCAGGCGCCTGCACGCGGGCCGCGCTCGACGTCGCTGTCACAACAGCCGCGTCACACACACGTCACACCGCGCTTAGCCGGTCGACCCGTCTGTCAGGTCGGCCTTAGCTTCGCACAGCTGAGCTCAGACTGCAGATCGATTTGCCGTCGGTGAAAGGAGTAAAACAGTCATGTGGACAATCGGCTGGCCGTACCGCATGCCAGACGCGTTGCTATTCCCGCCGCCCTCGCTCCTGACCGTGCTCCGGTGGGAGCGGTTGCAGGGCGGATCTGCGACTCGAATGGCGTCGCTAATGCAGCGAGAACCGAGCCGGAGCGGTGTTCGGTGCCGCCGCCGGCGCCGGCGCCGCGGTGGTGACGACAGTCGGCTGTTGACTCATCGCAGTGACCCGCCGGCGGCGGTCTCGTGTTGCGCGGCGAGCCCTCGCTTCCTGGCTCCCGCTGCCGCTCGCGGGAGCTCGCCTGGCGCCTCCCTGCGGAGCTTTTGAAACTGATGCGCTTCGAATCCTGTGCTCTACGTTTGATGCGTGCCGCGGCTGATGTTAGGTGCGCGTACTGAAACGTTTGCCGTTGTGTTTCCGATCCCTTTTCATTTCACAGTGGTGCATCATCGCTGGTACATTCTCTTTTATCGCAGTGGTGGTTGGAAAAGGATGTGTCTTTAAAATTCGGCCTGGATGAAGCATTCAGATAAGGTCTGTGACTAATGCAAGTATCAGTAATCCCTCAGAAATAATCGACTGCTGGAGTGAGCATTAACAAAAAAGACCAACACATGTGCCAACGTATTCGCTCACACGCATACCTGCCGTAGCCTATACACTCTTAAACACACACGCACGAGCATTTGTGAACACGCAACCATACCCACACTGCGCGCCCACTTGCGCTCGGTTCTGGCCCTCTCAGTGTGCAGACGGTGTTGTAAGCCCCCTATTGCTACTCCAGTCTCTAATGCAAAAGTTCTTCCGCAAGGCGTTCCGTTAACGGGCCAAGTTAGACGAACTTTGCCCCTCCCCCCCCCCCCCCCCCGTTCCTCCGGGACGGCTCTGTCGCCATGTCACGGACGAGATGTCGCCGTGCAGGAAAACCTCGTTTCAGCTTGCACGAGCGCCGTATCAAGCGTGGCGACCGACAGGAGCAGGCCACACCCATCAGCGGGTAATGGCCGATGCTGGAAACGTGTCCCATCTATCAGCGTGCTGGTCGCGAGCCGCCGGCTGTTGTGCCTTATCTAGGGCCGTCTTGGTATCGTGTGCTAACAGGACATGGCTCGCAGTAAAGACTATCGACTAAAAGCATTGATGTGGCGAAACTTACGCCGGTCGAATCCGGGTGTTATGTGACTGGCGGCCGCCGTGCGTCAGTCGCAAATTCCTGACCTCAGGCTGGCTTGGGTGTACTCAGACGCAACCCGCATTGCCCGCGGCGATTGCGCAACGCGCTACGTTACAGGGTGGCACACTGTCTTCGTAACGCACCTGTGCGGTGCCTGACGCAGCGACGATTGACAGTGCCCCGTTGTGACCGGCAGAGAACGCCACCGCCCGCATGTACAGCCTGTGCCAGCTGACAGTGACGACTGACAGTTATCTGTTGTGACCGGCAGAGAACGCCACCGCCTGCATGTACAGCCTGTGCCAGCTGACACAGTGACGACTGACAGTGATCTGTTGTGACCGGCAGAGAACGCCACCGCCTGCAAGTACAGCCTGTGCCAACTGATGCTGGGCACGCAGTGCGTCTGCACGGAGCTGGAGGACTGCCGCTCGCCGGACGTCTCCGGTGACCCTACCTCGTTCACCAGCCGCGAGGAGTGCGAGAAGGCCGCCAGCAGGAACCAGGCGGCGCCGGCCAGTGAGCCCACCCCAGGTCAGTGGTAGGGGCGGGTGAAACGGACCCTAGGTCAAACCCCGTAGAGCGAGTCCTAGGCGAGATCTGTGCCGCTGTCGATGACGGGCTAAAACTGGTTAGTTTCATGTTGAATGTCCCGGGCTTTGTCGTCGCCCCCTTAGGGTTAACGCGGGCACCGAGAAACTTCAGGAACCACGTGCTATATTTTCCCAGTAAAAATTTACATGAATGGTTTCTATGAAATTTTACAACGATCGAAAGAAGCGCTCTCGCTCATGCCGGGCTGTCAGACTTTCCAGCGGAAGGATCAGACCCCAGCGACAGCCTGTCCATGATTCGCTCGGCACTGAAACAGTCACGCAGAGTCTGTCTGGGTGCCCCAGGCTTAACGCCGGGGAAGAGGGTGTGGGGTCGGCATCGGGCCCACGTGACTGTTCCGTCATTAGATCGACATCACCCTGCACAGTGCAGTGTGCACATTGCAGTCAATGAACCCTCGCAGTGCAGGTCACATACTGGCCCGCTGTGCAGGTCACATACTGGCTCGCTGTGCTCTGATCAGTATTCACAATACGATCGCAGGAATGCCCACGATCCACAGGAGTCAAGCAAGTAATTATTTATACCGAGTCCCAGTGACCACATGAAAGCGAAAAGTTAGAACGTGTACCGTTTGGCCTTTGGGTCACGCTCCCATCCTCTTCAGGGTCAAGATACTTTAATTTAAGATATTTTTGCTCCACGTGTGACAGCACCGTACTTTTCTACTATCTGTACTGCTATCTCCGTGCATTCAGCACCTGCACTAGCTTTATAAAGTGTTAAGCCGCCGAAGTCCAAAATCCCCGGCGCAGTCACGTGTTGGCTTTATGGACGAATGCCGCCTGTTCGTTTGCCGTTGCTCCGAGTAAAAGTATGCCGAAGTGTATAGGGTGTATAGAGTTTTGCGTAGAACATATTTGTCTTTGCCACTGAAGGCCTTTAACCCTTTTCCCATAGAAACGCAAGTTTATTGTTGATGCTTTCAGCTGATGCTTGGGGTAAGTGGTAGGCGCCAATATGAGCAAGCTGCAGCCCAGTATGGAAGTGTACCGCCACATTTGATAAGTGACATGTAAGTGACGTAAATGCGTTCCTGATAAATCTACCAATCATTATTCACGATTTACCAGAGCACAGTTCCCTTGAAATGTGAAAATGCCGGCGGTTTGTCTTTTTTAGTATTGCAAATTTGTTATCCTTCTTATCCACTTATTCCCTCCTAAACCCACTGACTGCACTGTGAGACAATTGGTGTCCCTACACAAATGAGACAACTGGTGTCCTGTTATGGGTTCCATTGTTTGCAATCGTTGCACTCTGAGTAGATTGATGTAATACAATTGAAACGGGTCTATCTGTCTGACTCATTTTTAGGAACACCTAGTTCTCAACAGCCATTGGTGGCCTGCCAGTTCACTGTTGTGACCCTGGCCACTCTGTCTGGTAGCTCGGCACGCTGCACTGGTAAACAAGGTGGCCTGCACGCGATTAGTGTAGCGTCGGGTGCTGCATTGCACCGGAATACATTGGTACCAGATGTAGTGGAATCGTCGTCCAATTAGCCTGAGGTCTTCTTTTGTTTTTGTTCGCAACAAACGAAGGCTGTGAGTGCCTCTCTTTGTCAAGCAAATAGCCTCGAGTGTAGCTACAGTATGTCAGACTAATTGGATGCTGCACGCTGAAGCGAACGAAATTGGAACAGACAAAAATAGCGGGCTGTTTGGTCGCCTATGAAACACAATTTATCGCTTAAGTTTTAGCGTGCGACGTTCTTCCGAAAAAACAACATAGAGTAATATATAGGCTCTCTCTCTCTCTCTCTCTCTCTCTCTCTCTCTCTCTCTCTCTCTCTCTCTCCTCTCTCTCTTCCTCTCTCTCTCTCTCTCTCTCTCTCTCTCTCTCTCTCTCTCTCTCTCTCTCTCTCTCTCTTCTCTCTCTCTCCTTCTCTCTCTATCTCTCTCTCTCTCTCTCCTCTCTCTCTCTCTCTCTCTCTCTCTCTCTCTATCTCTCTCTCTCTCTCTCTCTCTCCTCTTCTCTCTCTCTATCTCTCTCTATCTTCTCTCTCTCTCTCTCTCTCTCTCTCTCTCTCTCTCTCTCTCTCTTCTCTCTCTCTCTCTCTCTTCTCTCTCTCTCTCTCTCTCTCTCTCTCTCTCTCTCTCTTCTCTATCCTCTCTCTCTTCTCTCTCTATCTCTCTCTCTCTCTCTCTCTCTTCTCTCTCTCTCTCTCTCTCTCTCTCTCTCTCTCTCTTCTCTATCCTCTCTCTCTCTCTCTCTCTCTCTCTCTCTCTCTCTCTCTCTCTCTCTCTCTCTCTCTCTCTCTCTCTCTCTCTCTCTCTCTCTCTCTCTCTCTCTCTCTCTCTCTCTCTCTCTCTCTCTCTCTCTCTCTCTCTCTATTTCGCGTGCTGGCACTCGCACTCACATTTTCCTTTCGCCGCTTTTTTCATCTGTTCATGCATTGTCCCCTTCGATGCTTACTCCACAAAAGATATAACCACACACAGTTCTCCGCTATTTACATGCATCGGAGGGCCGCCGTGCATTTCATTACTTATGTCTCTTTGCCTCTTACGGAATTAGCTCTCACACTTTGGTGAGTGGCAGTCTACTGTACATCACGAATATTCATCACGATCATCACGATCATGAGCATCCGCCTAAACAGAGAGACATTTCGCAGCTGCCGAGTGCGACTGCAGCGCCTCCTGACATCCCGGCACCGTCGGCGCCCCTTTCTCCGCCAATCACCTTGCGACCTACCGGCGGCCTCACCGCGCACTCCCGTTGTGCCCGCCTGCTTTCCCCTGTCCGTCAGGGCGGACGCCGCGCCGCCGCGACCGCCGCCGATGCGATCGCGGCCTACCGTCGCCGCCGCCGCCCCTCGTTATCCGCGCTATCGCGCCATCCGAGCGCTGTCGCTCGTACACTCGGGGTGCTATCACGTGTTATCACGCGGCGCTGGTCGGCCGTCGCTTTAGACTCGGACTCGGACTCGAACTCGAACTCGGGATTGGTCGTGGTCCCGGTCTCGGGCTCAGTCTCGGGATCGGGCTCGGACTCAGTCTCGGGCTCGGACTCGGGCTCGAACTCGGGATTGGTCGCGGTCTCCGTCTCGGTCTCGGGCTCAGTTTCGGTCTCGGGCTCGAGCTTGGGCTCGGGCTCGGGCTCGGGCTCGGGATCGGGCCCGGGCTCGGGCTCGGGCTCGGGCTCGGGCTCGGGTTCAGTCTCGGTCTCGGTCTTGGACTCGGGCTCGATCTCGGTCTCGGTCTCGGGCTCGGTCTCGGTCTCGGTTTCGGGCTCAGTCTCGGCCTTGGTCTCGTGCTCCGGGAGCTGCTCAGTTCAGTGTAGCAGTCTGTCGAGCGAGGGGCGTTCTCTAGCGGCCATCGTTTCAGCCCCGGTCTGCAGGGCTGGCACTGCGTGCCGGAAGGGCGTTGTTCTGACGGCAGATAACGGGCCTGGTGTGGATCGCGGCCTGGAACGACTAAGTGCGACGGCTGTGGTCCGGGATTTACGACATAGGTACTGAATCTCAATCGCGCGAGGTAGACCGTGCGTTGTTGCAACAGTGGAGATGGATCTTCTGTATTTGTTCAGGCAGGAAAGCAGGCTTATGATTGATCCCCTGTCAGCATGTATTTATATCTTCATCCCTGATGGGGACATGGGGAATACCTCCAGGAAAAAAGGTAGTAGGGTGCCGCAGACTTTCGTTCAACGACCTTTTAGAATGTCCATGTGTTCAAAAATCTAAGTAAACATGATAAGCAGACTGATCAACTTTTCTTTGCTATCACGGATCTTTCTGTGATACCACTTGCTAGTGACAATGCGGGCAGTTTCAGTGACCACGTCTCTTTGCCATCCTGTTTTGCTTTTTTGTCATCTTTGTACTGAACCACCAGATAAGATCATCGTCAGTGATTTTTCTCTCTTTGCAGCAACAGAGACCAAAATAGTAATTATTAGAGACGCTGACGTGCATCTGCGTCCCACATGAACAGGGAATCTCTGCCTCAGGTGAAGACTTGTCGACAACAGCTGCCTCTCAGTTCAGGGGCATTTTTGTCAAAAAAATGGGTTTTTGCGTTTTGAAATTGTCCCGTTATGTACCAAGCGATTTTCTCCGTTTGGTAATTCACTTGATTTCGTCTTTGGGAAGCAAAATTTATTTTTCTCACCTCGCACTACTTATCCCACCATGTCCACCTGTAGCAGCTGATATCTTTTCATGCTGCTTGCGTTCCGGAATACAAACCATTCAAACCTTATTATACACCATTTGTCACACAGCGAATGGATGTCTTACGCAGCCAGCAGCCTTCCTCTTCTCCCCTGCCGGAGGGTCTCAGTCATCATGTAGCCCGGTCGCAGAGAATGTGACCCTCCCAGTTCCGGGCGCCATGATCAGCCGGCGTCCTGCGAACGGTGATCTCACCCGTCACGTGATCATTGACGACCGTGTGACGCAGGCATTGTAGCGCCGAGCCGTCCGTGACGGTGGCAGCGAAGACAGCTGTGACGTCGGGAAGTCTGCGGGTTTGGGAGAGGGAATCACGTCTGCAGATCTCTCCTCCCCAGCTAAGCTCACGAAGTTCCACCCCGCGGGGTTGAAATCTCGCCGGCGATGCCTCAGCTGTGGTTGTTGGGTCTTTTCTTTCATGAACTTTACCTTCCTCTCCAGTTTTAGTGTCCACCAATCATTGCATCAGCCAGCGAAAATAAACGCGAGAATATCACGAGCATACTCTTGCTGCGCTTATGCACCCCAAAGCCCGACGTGTAGTGCATTATCCTACCTTCCTTGTCGAAGCATCTGCGCTTCGCTGTCTTATCGCATTGTTCTCTGTCGGCCTGACCTGGGTCAGTCTGGGTCAACGGTGGTCACGCGACGTCCCACCCCGCCCCGGAGTCCCTCCCCGCCGCGTGCCGACTCGGCTGCAACGGTCGAGTCGCCAACAGGAACGCCATCCCTCCGATGA